GCCTCCTGCCCATAGGCACTCAGCTTTACCCGCAATTGCTGTCTTTCCTCTGCTGTCATTGCTCCACCAGGTAGGGATCTCACACTCTGCTCATGGCTCTTCTTTCTTGATGGTTCTGAGATCTCTGTTCCTGCTTCTGAGGTGACTCCTTTTCAATCCAGCAGTATGCCTAAATGAACCAATCCCAGCCTCTGAGTGCCAAACACCTTATTTGCATGCTTCCACCTGATATTGGGAGCTCAGTGGCTCTGTAGGCTAAGCAGTGGACTGCGACTCTCTCGATTGGTCATTTGAGCCCACCAGCTGCCCCACGGGAGAAAGATGAAGCTTTCTGCTCCTGTAAAGATTTACAGCCTCATAAACCCATACAGGGTCGCTATGAGTCAGAACTGACTCTACGGCATTTAACAAAACCAGCAATAACATTTGGTGGATGTCACAAACATCATGGCTAGAAGAGACATACTAAGACTACCACAGTATGTAACATAATTATACAGAGCGGCTATAAACTTACAATTATTTTACAAATATACAACCAAATTTTTACATGGACAAAAGGTTGTTGTTGTTGTGTGCCATGGAGTCGGTTCCAACCCATAGCGACCCTGTACAGGGTTTCCGAGGCTGTAAATCTTTACCGGAGCAGAAAGCCTCATCTTTCTCCTGCGAAGCAGCTGGTAGTTTCGAACTGCTGACCTTGCGGTTCGCAGCCTGATTCGTAACCACTATATCCAAAGTTAATTCTTAGAAAAAGAATCCTCAATGAACATTTGAAAGAATGTTCAATCATACTAGAAATTAGAAAAGTTTAAAACCAGATGACACTATTTTTCATTCATCAGATCAGCAAAAATTTTTAACATAATAATCTGCAATGTTAAAAAGGGAAACAAGGATACATGCACTCTCAGACTATTGGTGGGGAATATAAATTGGTAGTACTTGGGGAATACAATTTAGAAGTGTGCATTAAATGTGTAAATGTGCATACTCCTTTGAATCAGTTATTCAAAAAAATCTATTCTACAGAAATAACTGAACATGTTTACAAGTTAGGAAGAAAAAAAGACTCAAGATTCAAGCATGTTCTAGAGAGACTCTTTAAGCCTTAAACAAGAAAATGTTTAAACAGGACATTGCACCTCAAATTAAAGAAAATTAAAATTCTCACAACTGGACCATATAATATCATCATGATAAACAGAGAAAAGATTTATGGTGCCAAAGTCTTCATTTTGCTTAGATCCACAATCAGTGGTCACAGAAGCAGCAGGTAAGAAATTAAAGAACGTATTGCATTAGACAAATATCCTACAAAAAAAAAACAACAACAAAAATAAACCTCTTTGAAGTGTGCAAGAGCAAAGGTGTCAACTTTGAGGACAAAAGTGTGCCTAACCCAAACCATGCTATTTTCAATCGACTCATATTCAGCAAAAGCTGAATAATGAATAAGGAAGACCAGAGAAGAATCAAAGCATTTGAATTATAGTGTTGGTGAAGAATAATGAAAGTATCATGGAATGCCAGAGAACAAACCAATTTGTCTTGGAAAAAGTACAACCAGAATGCTCTTTAGAAGCAAGGATGCATAGACTTCCTGTCTGATACTTTGGACATGTTGTTGGGAATGATTTCAAGTGCAGATCTGTGGTTAGCAATTAAGCAGTTATCTATCCATATGTATATATATGTATGGGGAAGGAGGGAGGTGTGAAATAGTCTTTCACTTTTTACTCTATATATTCCAGTGCTGTTTTAATAATTATGACTAACATGCATTCATGAAATAATTTTTAATTAATTAAAAGAAAGGGTGGAAAGAGATACATGAAACTATGTTGTATTTACTTTGGTGGTGATTATGTGCAATGGAGTCTATTCTGACTCACAGTGACCCTGTACAGCGTTTCTGAGGCTATAAATCTTTACGGAAGCAGAAAGCCTCATCTTTCTCCTGTGGAACAGCTGGTAGTTTCGAACTGCTGACCCTGAGGTTAGCAGCCAGATTCGTACCCACTACACTATCAGAGCTCCCTTGTATTTACCTTAGGGAAGAAAAAAGGAATGAGAGATTTTTACTTTTTACTCGACAAAGTATTAAGACAGTAACTATATGACTATCATGCAATTGCTTTGTGAAACTAAATATTTTTAAATGTACAGACATATATACATGCTTCTGAAAGACAAATGAAAAGGATCCCCAAACCAAAACCACTGTAGCAATTTTTCAAGGTCATATTAAATAATAAAACAGTATGGCTTAATGAAAGGAGCTCTGGTAGCATAGTGGTTATGAATAAGGCTGTTAACCTCAAGGTCAACAGTTTGAAACTACCAGCTGTTCTGTGGGAGAAAGATAAGGCTTTCTGCTCCCCCAAAGATTTGCAGCCTCGGAAACCCTGTGCAGGGTCTGTATCAGTCAGAACCGACTTCACGGTACTCAACAACAACAACAACATGATTTAATGATACTCTACCTGGTACTTTATCAGTTTTCCTTCCTTTAAAACGTAATTAGGAATTACTTCAAAAGAAATCCTCACAGTGTTACTGACTATATTATCTAAAATAGTACCTTCCAGACCAATAATTCAAAGGGTAATAATTTGACCTGAGAATCCCAAACTATCAGAATCTCAGTGGTGGGGTTCCTTTTTTTTCTATTCCCTAAAAAATATCAGAATAGTATGTGGCTTATTTGTAGCTGTCTGAAGATACTAACTTAAAAACAAACTCACACTATGACAAAAATTGTCAATTTTTTTTCCGGATTGTTGTTGTTAAGTGCCGTGGAGTCTGCTTGGACTTTTAGTGACCCTTTGCACAATAGGATAAGCACCGGATGGCAAGGTGGGTTTGAACTGCAAGGTCAGCGGTTCAAGCTCACCAGACACTTTTTGAAACCCTATACAGGGTCGCTATGAGTCGGAACCGACTCCAAGGCACTTAACAACAACATGCACAATAGAACGCAAGACTGCCTGTCCTGTTCCATCCTCACAATTGTTATCCGTCGTGAGCCAATTTTTGCTGCCACTGTGGAGGTCTCCTTGAAGGTCCCCCTCTTTTTGGCTAACCCTCCACTTTACCAAGGAGCTCTGGTAGCATAGTGGTTGCGAATCAGGCTGCTAACCTCAAGGGCAGCAGTTCGAAACTAGCAGCTGTTCAGCAGGAGAAAGATGAGGCTTTCTGCTCCCGTAAAGATTTACAGCTTCGGAAACCCTGTACAGGGTCGCTATGAGTCGGTTCCGACTCCACGGCACATAACCACCACCACCACTTTACCAAGCATGGTGTCCTTCAGTGACTGGTAACCCCTGATAGCATATCCAAACTAGAAAGGACAAAATAAACATGGAAAGTGAAACCATTGCACAGAATAAGAAACATTCAATTTAACGAAGTGGTGTGCCGCTGTAGGATCAGCACTGGGCTATGAACCACAAGGTCGGCAGTTCAAACCCACCAGCTGCTTCTTGGGAACAGGGTCACTATGGGCACTTAACATCAACAATATTAAATTGGAGTCCTGGTGTGGCGCTGTAAGGTAAGCACTGGGACACAGGTAGGTTTGAATCGCAAGGTGGGCCATTCAAACTCACCAGCTGCTCCTCGGAAACCCTACACAGAATTGCTGTGAATCCGAACTAACTCCAGGCACTTAACAACACTATCAATACGAAATCATTGTTGCTAACATTACAACATAACGGCGTGAATAGAAACAGCATGATTCTGCACAGCGATACGTTCTACTCAGCAGTTCCCTAAAAGTACTCTTTGAAATATAAAGATACGGACACTAACAAAGGAGGTATAAAGTAATGACAAAAAAGACCCCAACAATTAAAACATTAAAACTCCGGCAAATGAGTTGTAGCATTGTAGTTATTTTGACTGCTGAAAAGTTGATTCAACCCTATTTTACACCAGACCAGTTTGCACCCATTCTTGGTTTACATCCTCTAATTTCAGTGTTTATGTGACACATTAGCACATAGCCATGGCTATTTATATTACTTAAGGGTGTATAGGGTGGAACACTATTTCACATTAAAAATGCATGTTGAAGACATTTTTTAGGTAAATGCACAAGTCTTTTTCTCCACCTCCACTTCCCCATCCAGTCTTACACAACGGACAAAATGTCCTGACGCATGTTCATTAGAGAGTTGCTCCCTCCATTTTGTCCCAGTCTCCTTTAGGAGAACCGAGTGGTGCTATTTTAAAGACACTAAATAAAGAAACTAAAACAGGAAGTAGGTGGTGTAGGCGTGGGAGCAATTTCTGGGAGGTAGGCACTTGGGACTAAATGGCTGCTTGTGCCTGGTGGAGCTGTCGGTAGCATCTAGGGCTTGTTCTCGGGCCGCAAGGACAAAGGACACTTAATGGGACGAGGACCGCGGAGGAAATGCGGGACGACTTCCCAGCACCGGGCTGGGGCTGAGAGTAGGGCTGACTCAGGCCGCCGGCTCTGCCCTACAAAACAAAGCGGCGGCGGCGCGCCTGCTCCCTCCACCAGGGCCCCGCCCCTCCGCGCGCGCCCGCTGCTTGTAAACGCGGGCGCGAGACCGCGCCGGCGACGGTTAAAGATGGCGGTTGGGGCGGAACGAGTGGGCTCAGGCGGGAAAAGCAGTCTAGATGAGCCCTAGGGCTCTGTTCCACCCGTCATATTCAGGTGGCAGAGTTGTTTCATGAGCCCTTCGCCTACTCTCCTGGCCCTGGTGGACAAGTGCAGGGCTGGGAAGAGTGCCTGATGGAGAGTTCGATTGAACAAAGGAGATGGCAGCAACAGAGCCGACGCTCATTGCGCAGCCACTGCGGAGAATTAAAAACGTTCCCTAAAATGGCGGCCGCCGCACGTAGGGCGGGGCAGAGGGGAGGCGGACACCGCCCCGGCCGACTCTAAGCGCCCTGAGCCGAGGTGGTGAGCAACGGTTCCACCGCTCTGGTGGCTATTTCGGTTTTGGAGGCGGCGCAGACTCGTCCTCATGGCCGCCGAGTCGGGACCTGGCGAGCCCGGGAAGGGGAAGGTAACCCGGCGGGCCTCCGGGGTGGTGGTGGAGCGCACGGAGCTCTGAGCTCCAGCACCTCCGCCTTAGGCGTGGGGCATTGGTGGGTGAAGAATGGGGGCGAGCTAGGAAAACCACCTCTCGCGAGTTAGGAGCACGTGTCACTTGCTTCTCTGGTATACCATCTTGGTTTTGAAAATTTCCCCTTCACCTCCATGGTTTTATCTATATTGCCATGACTAAATTGACCAGATTTTGAGGAGGGGCAGTACTTTTTAAAAACACTGCAGGTCATACATAACAGGACCAAATCTTTTAGCAAGAAATTTGTGCTGAAAAGGGCACTGCATTGCAATTTACTAGTAAAGGTGAATAGTGAAGGTAAGAGGAGTGAGAAAAAAGTGTCTTATATATATTCTTCACGTAACTTTAAAGGTGCTGGGGAATAAATACATGATTATATCCAGAGCAGGAGGGTCAGATGGATTGAGTGTTCACTTGGTGCTCTCCTCGCCTGTCCACTTTTCAGCAGTGTATTCTGACTAGATTTAACCCCTTGCTTAAACCCAGCTTCTGGACCTATACGAGGCTAAGCCCAAAGGTATTGGCTAAGATTCCAGCTCATACGTGCATGGGTTTATTCCAAACAAAGCATGTTTAAACATTTTGTGATCTGTGGATGGCTGCACACAAGTTCTCAGTAATGCACTTCTGTTAGTCTCGGTTCAGGGCCGTGGAGGTAGTTTCTACTCATAGAGACCTTGTATAGGGTTTTCGGAGCCACTAGTGACCTGGTAGCATAGTGGTTACGAATCGACTGCAAACCAGAAGGTCAGCAGTTCGAAACTACCAGCTGTTCCGCGGGAGAAAGATGAGGCTTTCTGCTCCCGTAAAGATTTACAGCCTCGGAAACCCTGTATATGGTCGCTATGAGTCGG